ATGTATGTATAAGTGATTTGGAAAGTTTGGTAAAAGTTAAGTTTCGCTTAGTATTGGTTAATATAATTAATTTTTTGTATTGGGATTTTTTAGCTTAGCTTTTTTAATTTTATTGGTTGATTTTTTTGATTTTTGTAAAAGAAAAAGTATAATAATTATGACTTAGATGTAATATTTGTCTTATTGACTTACGTAGTCGATTTTGGACTTTTGGACTTTTTTAGCCCTAAAATTAAAACCAAACGAGGGCTTAGTTTTTTGATTTTTTTTTTTTTTTAATCTTTGTGTGTAAATAATGTAAATTGTGATTTAATCCAAAATAGATTAAAAAGTTAAAAATAAAGTTTTTGCTAGCTTTCCAAATTACCCCTATATACGTATAGGGATAATCATTTCGCCCGGTCCGAAAGAGAATACTGGGCAAGAGTAGATTTTTTCTCTAACGCTTGAAAAATTATTGATTGGCTTTAAGACGTCAGGTGACGATCTTTTTTATTAATCATAAATTATTATGTGCTCTTAAATTTTTTAATTATTTAATATAGGATAATATTAGGGATATCAAATTTACTACTAAATAAATGAACAAATATCTCATATGGGTGTGGAGTCCGCAATTTTGTGTACCTCACACCAATGTGAAACATTTGGTTATTTATTTAGTAAAAAATTTGGGCCTATAATATTTTCCTTCAAATATAAAATCGTAAGTTTCATTATTTTGACCAATTACAATGAATATAGAGTATCACATGACACTACTCCTAAACCAACCAATAAGTTCTCCTCAGCCTTAACCCAACTTATATTTATTAAATATATTAATATGTATATATTTATTTAATTTTCTTAATATAATATAACTAAAATATTAAAATATTCCACGTAAATACTCATTTTTACTTTTTTTTATTATTTATTTCACATCTTGGCCCCGTTTGGTGAAACTTTTTTTAAGTTCAAAATTAATAATTAAAAAGCGAAAGTTAAAAGCATTATTACCCCAGCTTTCAAATAATTAGCCTTTTTCAGCTTATTTAAGTTATTTTTACCTAATAAGCTATAAGTAAAAGTTGCATCAAACAATCTGGCATAAACTCTCAAATCAAAATAAGTTACAATCACTTCCAAAAACTGTAACAAACAGTCCCCTTATGTCTTTTAACTTTCATCATTTATTAATTATTGTTTTTAATAAAACATATCACTTTTCATTTTTATTAACAGTAAGTCTGGGAAAAAAATGAAATGTATGGCAAAGATTGAAAATGTGTATTATAAGACCCATGTTCAAAATAAATCTAAATCACACATGAATATGTCTGAATAAAATTTTCTGAATTTATAATATTACCCTTTTATTAAGAGGGTAAATAATATATACACCCCTTGAGATTTACTTAAAATATGAATTGTCTCATGTGATTTGAAAAATTACAAATACCTCCCTGCTAGAATTTTTTATTTAACATAATTTATTAAAAAAGTAAAATTTCTAGCTGTTCACCTATACAATAATAAAATTATTTGAATTCTTAATTGAAATAAAATTCTAATATTGTTAAAAATTATTAATTAACTTGATGATTTATTAATACATTAGCCCGGAAGTTGGAAAAAACGGGTGCCGGGAGGCTCCGGAGGAGAGATAACTGGTTGCTGCAACAATTGCTGGCCTCCCACCCTTTAGTGACTTTTCTCGTGATAAAACAGAGGTACCTGCCAAAAATGAACAAAAACCGTTTCAAAACGAACGTTCCGGGGGCAAAACACGCAGTTCAGGGTCCCGAAAATGGGCTGTTAAGCACCGAAAATGGTATTCGGCCTCGAAGTGGGTTTCTCAGCCCCCAGTGTCCCTCAAAAGGGATTAAATAGGAAGTATGCCAAAAATCAGAGCAACAGGAGATGGGTAAGCGGTCCCGAACCGAGGCACACGGCCTGACGCTTCGAAAACCGGGAACCGGACTCCGAAATGGGAAAAATGGCCTACGGCCACCAAATGTAGCCTGCGAACATTGAGAGATGGTCTACGGGACCTCTCCCTCCCCTCAGGAAAAGAAACAGAGAAAATCGAGTTTGGCTCGCAAACCGAGACAAGGCACAGAAAAGGGTTCGGAAGTCCGGAGGTAGGGCTTACGGCCGCGTCTCTGAAACTTCTGAACAAGCACATTATGCAACATCACCAAGCGCTCCATCGGTGACGTCTGAGTCTTAAGGTCAGTCAAAAATGGGGTGTCTACACACTGTCGACATTGTTGGCGACCTCAACCGGCATCTTCTTCCACTTTCACCATTACTTCTACCTCCACCGACGTCTTTGCCTCCACCTCCACCATCATTACCGACCACTGCTGCCTCCACCTCCATAGTCGTCGTCGCCTCCACCTCTAGATCTAGGATCTATGCTCTTTGTTCTTCTCTCTCTCTCTCTCTCTCTCTCTCTCTCTGTGTGTGTGTATATTGGGGGAAAATCCGAGTGACAAATCTGTTTAAATCAGTGATAAATTTGTTTAAACTAGTGATAAATCAGTGACAATTTTGTTTAAATCAGTGATAAACCAGTGGTAAGTTTGTTTTTGTGAATTTATCACTGTTTAAACCAATAATAAGTTTGTTTTTGTGAATTTATCACTGTTTAAACCAATAATTTGTTTTTGTGAATTTGTCACTGAAATTTTGAAGAGGGGCTCAAAATAAGCCTAATATCAGTTTACAACATGCTCGAAAATAAATTGCTCATGGGCCAAAAATAGCATGCAAAACTATGACATACAAGAGGATCAATGAAGCAAGTGCATCATGGA